GGTAATAAACTCCTACTGGGTCAGGCTATTCCACAGTGACTGCTACCGTGCATCTTGCATCTTGTTCTGAATAAGGTGGAAATCAGCCAGCAATAAAAGCAAGGCACAGTGATGCAATAGGGCCCTGAGTTGATCTAGAGTTTCACAGTTACTACAACTGTTTGGGTGGGGAAGAGAGAGTGGAAAATGAAAGAAACGTAAGGAGAGAAAAGTGTGTCTTTCGAGCCTTAAAGAAGAGCATCAAATCAACTGAGATAAAATAAATGGAGTGACTAAGAACTCTTTCCTGTTTAACTGTTGATAGGAGATCAGTCGAGTAAGGGATTTTTTAGGTAAAAGAGGTGGAGCTGAGGCAATTACTGGCTAATTATATGTGGGAGAACTGCCAGTGAATGGGTTGTGTGAGGAAAAAAAAGGCAAAAAACACAAGAGGAAAGATTTGGGCAGAGTAGGACAGAATATGAGTAGACAACAAGCACTTGATACAGGAAAAGAAGCAAACTACTTGAAAAGCACCAAAATGTGTGTGAAAGTAGCAGAAGAAGGCTGGAGAAGCTGATGAAAGGAGCAAGATGGAAGAAAAAAAAAACTTGAAAAAGGTAATCTAGATCAAGGCACCAAACATTATTGTCAACTGTGAGTTTACCTTGAAATTAAAGCTCTCATCCAGGAGAGGCTAAGACACTGTGTTTGCTCATTTTGAAGCAGAGCAGGCTGTGGGGCGGGAGCTTATGGCTGTCATCAGCCACCTAATGGGAGAATATGAAGAAGGTGTAGGCACGAGGTGGCAGAACATGAGATAACAGACACAAGTTGTAATAACCTCATACTACGTCTTACTAAAATCTTCTACATAGGAAAAAGTAATTTCACCATGGGTGTTGTCAAATATTGGAACAGTTGCCCAGGGACATTGTGTAATCTTCATCTTCAGTAATAGCTAAAACTAGACTAGAACAGGCCTTGAGTGACCTAACCCAATTTGGCCCTGCTTTGAGCATGGGGTTGAAGCAGATGACTTTCACAAGTCCCTGGAATGTAAATGATCCTGTGGTTTTAAAGGGAGCATCCTTTAAGTGATTCAAATTTAAGAAGATCTTATTGTGTTCTTTTTTTTCCTTTGCTACTAGTATGTGCATATTTTTAGCAGAGTATCGAATCTTTTACTTTAATATAAATCTTAACAATCTCTTAGCCTCACCCACTGAAAAAGGCTTATCCAAGCTAGTGAGAAAGGGCATTTTTTAATAACATAAAAATAATCATGCAATATTCTTCCCAAATGAGACCTCCAACAGCTCTGTGCACAGTTGCTTGCTCCTAGAGTTATCAGTAATACAGATGTGATTCCTTCTGCAATCAGAAGGGACTGCGTATTGCCAAAGGACATGGGCAATTTTATAGAATCCCTACAGCTACTCCAGATGACAGGCATACCTTCTGCTTGCTAAATACTCTTAGAAACAAATATCCAGAGAAATAAGAGTGGAGAAGCAGCCATGTAGATGGCTAACCTTGGTAGACACCCAAATGCCCACCCAGCCACCCTCTTACTCTCCCTCCTCAGCAAGACATAGGGAGAAAATCGGATGAGAAAGCTCGTGGGCAGAGGTAAAGAAGTTAAAAAGACAGGGAGCTTGTTTACCAGTTACTATCGCAGGCAAAACAGACTTGGCTTGGAGAAATTTAATTTATTGCTGATTAACATAGATTTGGGTAATGAGAAAACAAAAACAAACATTAAACCAACACCTTCCCTCCTCCCTCTCCCATGTTCAGCTTAATGCTTTTGACTTCAAACTTGTTCCCTCCTCCTCTTTCTGGCTGGTGTATTCTGCCTGTGGTTGAGTATGTTTGTACAGAGGTGCCACACACATGGCTAATCAGCTCAGCTCTGTCCAGTGCTCTGTCCTTCTTTATTTGGAAGTCAGCTTTATCAGGCAGTCAATCCTCCACTCTTTTTTGTCTACATTTGTCATTTTTGAAATATTTTTTAAAAAGTCCCAGTCATAAATTCTAAATATTATTTTCAAAAGCACCTGGTAATTGAAATACTATATGATTTTGCACGGCAAGGCACCCTGTGTGTGAACATCCACAGAAGGAAAAGAAACTAAGGTCCCAGCCTTCTTTTTTCCTCTGTAAACTGCCATTCTCTTTTCTGACTGTTCAGCATGACAAGTCTACTCAGATAAAGTCAAAAGTAAATCCCACGCAGATTGCACCCCACATCACCCAAAGGGCTTGCTTAAAGGTTGCTATTTCACTCTTCTATTTAGCTGGAGAAATCTGCCGTATAGTAACATAGAGCAGGCAGTCTTATAAAAGTGAAGAAAGAAAGAAAGTACCTTAAATCATGATGGGGGCAGGGGGAAAAAAAGGGCTTTCTATCTATCTGCCCAGAATGGCTCTTGGCAGATTTGTTGTTCTAAATAAAGAGGTAACAGCTGGTCCAGGAAGGACTCCACGGGCTTGCATATGGTGAGGGGGAAGGCAATGCCCACACACTCTTCTACCAAAGTGTAAGAAGGAAACTTGCTTCTCCTTCTTATCCTTGGTTGATTCTTCAGTCTTATTAAGAACACCTCTCTGCATTATCATCAGTGGAAATCTGCCCTTGAGCTATTGCTTTTGTTTCGTGTTTCATCTCGAACACCGCAGCAGCTCTGTATCATGGTGTACGCCTGCTCTTAGGAAGGGAGGACACACGGACAGACGGACAGACGAGAAGGGCTGCAGAGGACTCCACGAAGAGAAACACCAAGCAAGGGGACACGAGCTGAATGTGGCTTCATTCAGACAGGACAGCAACATGTTGTTAGCAGGAGAAGAGACCAGGAAGGATGATCAAGCCAGAGGAGTGATCAAAGAAACATGAGGAGAAAAGAATACCCTTTAACGTTATTCATATTTGGTTGTCACTGGCTGCTCTAGGCTGCTCATGGAATCTTGGGATAGGAACTGACTTTTGTAGCTTGATAGACTCATTATTTCAGCTATTCCTTATAATATTAATCATTTTCATCTATCTCCAGCTTCTATGACAATGAAGCTGCAAGGAAGTATCAACTTTCACTGAATACTACGAAAAATGGAAGACAAGTTTTTTTTAAAAAATCCTTATTTTTATTTTTTATTTGGCAAGCCAAATCTTTCTTATTTTTTCTTTTTTTTTTTTTTTTTTTTTTTTTTTTTTTTTGACTGCTTAAAACTACTATCTGAAACTAAATTATTGACTGGCAGTTTATTTAGACTGTGAACTAGTCATGCTACTCATGCAGACAACAAATTTAGTGCCATACAGAGCTGCTCTGCATCAGAGCTTCTTGGCTCTGGAGCAGCACCAAATGAATGTAGTTACATTTCTCTCAGAATGAACAGGATAAAAAGGCACACATATTTTAATTATTCTCAAAGTTTAAACAAATGAAAAGCACTTATCAATTTTAATTGCTTTTTAAGTCTCCAGCACTATGACCTGTATCTTAAAAATAAAACTATTTTAATAATGAAGCTATTTTGCATGACCCAAATCACTTCATGAAGTAGGAATTTAAGGTAACATATTATTGACAACCATTATTTGTTGCATTTGCATTTGGTGTTAACCAGAGTATTTGTACATTCCGTGTCCAAGCTGAACTCTTGTTTGAATAAATCCAACTTCTAAATTTTGTCAGCAGCCAAAACTGGGTTGCATATAGCATTTATTTTTTAGACTACTAAGTGTAGTGCAGCAACATTTTACACTCCTGAGAGATTATGAGTAGATGTGTATTAAAACAAAGGAAGCACCAGAAGAACTTCATACACAAATTATATAACCAACATAAGCAGTTTGCTCTAATGGACTGTCCGAAGCTTGACATAGGAACACAGTCCTGACATTAGATTGGGTGATCAGGCTTGGCCAAATTTTAGCCCAATACCACTTCTGGGTGATATGTAATGAACTCTACTTCCTCCTAGAGACATGTCACAGAAATACCATTGGCCCTGGGGCAGAGAGTACATTATTGGTAATGATGATACCATTATTACTGCTTTTTCTAGTCAGGACAGGTTCACAGAGCCACATTTTCTCTGTCCCATGACCAGGCTGCTGCTGTTTCCCCTTTTTAAAATTTTATTACTATATACTAACAAAAGGGCCAGAAATAACTAGGATAGAGAGGGTATTAGCTCTGGGCTCAGCTGTCCTCCATGTGGCATCTTTCTTCTAGTGCTGCTGCCTCTTGGTAAAGAAGTGGAATTATGGTAGATCTGGCTTAGTGACAGCTCCTGCTCCTGCTAGTTCTTTATAAGTACCCTGAGAGGCTGTTTCTGGTGGCAGCTGTAACTAAGGCCTTGGTGGAGTTTCCAAACATGTTCCTAGCAGCAAGCAGTGGTGTCCTGGCTTCAGCCAAGACAAGGACAATTTTTTGCATTAGCTGGGAGTGGGCATGGTTATGTGGGTGTAACCAGGACCAGATGTTATGCTACACCACCCCTTATCATTGACAGGGCTGGGGGGAAGACAGACTCCAAGGAAAGGGACATTCCTTTCTGCTCGGAGAAAACATGTCAGAAACAGCCAATCAGATTGGTGTTAGTTCATTGTCACTTCCCATGTAAACCATCTGTCTTACACCTTTTGTTGTTAATATTGTTACTGTTACCATTTATTCTATGATCTCACTGCTGTTTCCAGTAAATTGTTCTTATCTTAATCCATGATCTTTGCCTTTTGTACTTCCAATTGGAAGAGGGAGCGAGGGGCAGCGTGGTTTTAGTGGCAATATCAAACTAGAGAACACCATTCCTAAACCACAACAAAGTGGTCACTCCAACTCCAGTCTGAGGAGCTAAATGTGTGAGAAGAGGCTGCTACAAGGCGATCTCTGTGAGAAATGATTTACTCTCCCAGCTCTGTGAAATTTTGGCTAGGGCCAAATATTGCTGACACAGAGAACCAATGAGAGAATGGCTGCCAAAGGGCGAGGGGAAAAAAGTTGTCTCACCTTGGCAGGCTCGTTCATCGTCCACAGGCTGGTAGCCAGCCTTGCAGGTACACCGTCCAATGGCCACCATCCACTCCCCTTCCCCATTGCAGTGCAGCCGAACGCTCGAGGAGCCCGTCGTGCTCGTCTCTTCAGCGTTGGGCACACACGTCCCCGGGGACTCCACCAGCGACGTCCTCTCCCCGCCAGCAAACGTTTCAGGAAAGGAGGCAAATCCTTTCACCACAGCTGGGCACTTGTAGAAAAAGACTTGGACTGCCACCAAGGACATGCAGGCTCCTGAATCCTGGAAGGCCAGGTAGAAGCCCTGCTTGGTGAGCGGCCCAAAGCTACGTACTTTAACATTCATCTTGACCACCTTCCCAGTGCTGTCCACCTGGGAAAAGCTTTCATCAGCTGCAATAGTGTCCACTTTGGTCCAGGGGCCCTCGCGCCACTCTGGCATGTCCTGAGAGGCTATGTCAGCCTCCGACTGGTGGTAGTAGAGCGTGAAAGTCTCCTTGCAGGAGGAGGCCACGGTGCGCATGCTGGCACAGTCCCTCACTGAGAAGCGGAGGCGGACGTGGACGCGGTGGGCTCCGCGCCGCTCTATGAAGTGAGTGCGCAGCCAGTTGTTCTGACCTGGTTCAGCCACGTTGCACACTTGAAAGGTTCGGATCAGGCGCTTCTTGTCATCCAGGACACTTACCTCATCCCACTACAATGGATACAGAGGAGAAAAAAGAAACAGTAAAAAAAAAAAAAAAGATTCAGTATTCAGCTGCCCCAAAAATACAGGACAGGCCTTTGTCTTCCCTTTCTCCTTGCCGTGCCTATGACAAGATTTGAACTTGTTGATGCCATGTGCAGCAGAGCATTCTAGACAGAGTATAACCCTGTAAAGAATGGCAGTCAAAGCTCTGAAGTAAGAACTGTTGTGACAGAAAACATAAATCATGCAAACTTGGTCACACGACATCAAGAATCTTAAAATGCAAGAGTCACACTTTCTTCCTTCCTATCTTACCATCTCTTATCTCCAGAGACAAAACAAAGGACACAAACAAATGAGACAGAGCAACTAGACACTGTTCTCTGGAAAACACATTAAAGCAGAAGTCCCTTCTACTTTTTACCACAGTGGGAGCTGTGCTCTGACATCTCCTATGCACATAAACCACTCAGCATGGCCACTACAGGGGCAGGTCCAGATCTGATTTGTGCCTGGAGGAAGAATAAGGAGGGGTAGAAGCAGGTTCCTGCACAAAGCTATAAAACAAAACCCTTCTTACCCTCTCAACAAGCTTTTTCAGAATAGGTAAAAGGCCCTGGGTATGACAGAGGACGTGCACAGTGAGAGAGAAGAGAATAAACCTGCTCAAGCATTATCATGAAGGTCTGGCCAACCAGCTCCTCAGTTAAAAAGATCTGCAGTAAGACCATTTGCCAAGAAGGAACAACAGCAAGTTATGGTCATCCGTGACTTTCTCTGGTGTCAAACAGAAGCACCCATCTGCAGCCCAGAACATCTTTTTAAGCAAGTTGCAGCCTCCCAGGGCCCCAGTTCAGTGATGTCAGCAGATGATGGAAGAGCTTAGTACAGCCTTCAGACTACTATCCACACCCGCTTTTTCACATGGGTACAAATAATGTCCCAACAAAAAGTGCAAAGTTGATCAAGAGAGTTTTCAGGGCCCTGGGAAGAATGATAAAAAAATTCAGGAGAATGGGTAGTGTTTTTCCTCGATCTTTTCAGTAGCAGTAAGGCACTTTGAAAGAAACAGGTGCCAAGACATCAATACTGGCTTCAGGACTGGTGCCTCTGCCAAAAAGGGTTTGTAACCATTTAAGAATCTCTGAGACACAGGGTGTGCTGGGATGTGACAGGATCCACTGTTCTGATGGAAGAAATGTATCTTTGCTCATAAACTGAAGGGACTTGGTTTGAGGGATTTAATCTCATTGACTGAGGGATTTAATCTGTAACTGACAGAGGAAGGGCATACCAGCAGGAGACCTGAAGGTAAACTGAAGGTTGGCATGGCATAAACTTAGGATGGCAGTGCTAGTTGGGATCATGTATGCTGCTCCTGGCAGCATGGAGGGCTCAGGAGCACAGCTGAAATGTTTGTACACCATGGGAGCATTGGGCAATCATTCATGGCACAAAACCTAACAAGATCAAGTGCCAGATCCTGCACCTGGGATGGAGTAACTGCAGGCACAAGTGCACAATGGGAGAGGAGTCTGGGGAGCGCCCTGCAGGGAGGGCCCTGGGGGTGCAGGTGGCAGCAGCTCAGTGAGAGTCAGCAGGGTGTGCCCAGGCAGCCCAGAGGGCAGAAACCGTGTCCTGGGGGGCATCAAACAGACAGCAGAGCTGGGCAGAAGGGGGGATCACCCCACTGTGCTCAGCCCTGGTGTGGCCTCACCCGGAGTGCTGGCGGCACTTCTGGGCACCGCTGCCTCTTCAGAGTGGTGGGAAAGTCTTTGTGTGCAGAGGAAGGCACAAATTCCAATGTGTGTGGAATTCCACAATGCTGGTGGAAGGGCTGGAAGGTGTGTCCTGGGAGGAGTGGCTGAGGGCTCTGGGCTTATCCAGTCTGGAGAAAAGAGAGGCTGAGGGGTGACCCCCTTGCTCTCTGCAGCTCCCTGAGGAGGGGAAGGGGAGAGGGAAGCGCTGATGCCTTCTCCCTCAGATCCAAGACAGGATGCATGGCAATGGTTCAAATCTGCCTCAGGGGAAGCTCAGAATTGGCATCAGGAAACATTCCTTTACCTAGAAGGTGGTCAGACACTGGAACAGGCTTCCTAGAAAAGTGGTCAATACCCCAAGCCTGTCAGTGTGTAAGAGACATTTGACAGTGCCCTTTATAACATGCTTCAGCTTCTGGTCAGCCATTAAGTGGCTAGTAGCTGGGCCAGTTGATTGTTGTAGGTACCTTTCAATGGAAATATTCTATTCTATTCTATTCTATTCTATTCTATCTATTCTATTCTATTCTATTCTATTCTAATCTGGAGGGGTAGCTGGAGAACTGTTTAGTGTCTCTGGAGCAGAGTGGAAGGAAGAGGGTAAGGACGTGGCAATAGCATCCCATTCAGCATCCTTCTCTCTTAACAATTCAGCTTTGCATAAAACACTGTGCTCAAATTGTTCATATGTACAGAATCTATAAACCAAGTCTCATTGCTTCCAGTTTCCCTTTCTTCATCAGATGCATGCACATCTTCCCAGCAGAGGTACAGTCAAGAAGAGGACAAGGGAAATGCTTACCCCATCAGAAGGGTGTGCAGTCCAGCCTATCTCCGAGGTCTCTTGAGTTGTGTCCAGAAGTATTTCTGTTTGTATTAAAAAAACAAATAAATAAAATAAGTATTTTGTGCTATTCCAAGTCAAACTAAAATTTATCTGTTCCTCACAAGACTGTCTTGTAGAGGGCTTCCATACACCAAAAATAAACATTAATGTTTTGAGATTAAATATGACAGGTTATGTCTATACTAATAAATTAAGAAGGGCCAAGACAAGGGCAGAGGCACTGGGCACATAATCATGTTAACTCATGACTCTCAAGTTGCTTGGCAATATTCTCACCAGACTTTCCCAGGCAAAGTATAAGCACACTGACAGCTTGGAGCAGTTATCATAATGAGCAACTCAGATGAGGCCACTCTCTTTTTGGAAAGGAAAGAGACACAAGATGAGCAACATAAATGCATGCCAGTCTCCTTAGAACTACGGTTGCCCATTTTATTTGCACATGTAAGTGTGGACATGAGGCCAAGATACATTTGTTCAAAGTTCTGGAACCAAATTTCTTTGGGAGTTTAAAACCCAAACCCAGCTGATCCTGTAATGGATTCACTTTGTTCTGGAGCTGGGCATTACATTCCAAGCCTGTGTAGGAATCCCAGTATTAAATAATCTGTTGCATCACACTGCTCAAGAGTAGGGTACATGCAGAACTTCACAGGCCTAGCTTATTCCCACAAATAGTCTGCATTTCCATTATTTTTGAAGCCACCACTGGAGACAGATACTAGCCTTGACTGCTGTTGGACACTATTCTCTGCTTGGGTACAAAGCAACACAGAAGAGATTTTGACAGTACAAATATAAACACAGTTTAAACATAAACTCCAGAAGAGAGTGTCAGGGTCTGAGACCACCGTGGTATACAAGCATGTGCTCTTTACTCTGTATATTTAGGACACAGAATAAGAAAATGGCTCAGCTGAATAGGTATTTACATGTGTTGATATTTACTGTATAAATCAACTGGCTTTTCTTAAATTCTGGGCTTTAATTGGTTATTCTGATTTTCATATTTCTATCTTATTGCTTTAAAAAAACCCTCAAAAAACAGATTAAAAAACGAGCACAAAATTTAAGAGCAACAGCCAGTTTGCTTACAAATAAGATTCATGATCCATTATTAAACCTTGCAAAGGTTCAATAATATGATTGTTCCATGTTTAATGCAGGAGAGAAATCCTCAATGGTTTTTATTTCCAGTTTATGGATTGCTTATGTCACTGTCCCTACCAATACACCTGGGGATTCATCCACATTAATCATTGGAAAGGAAAGACTAGGTTCATCCTAAAGCAGACATGATCAAGTGAACAAGTTTATACAGACTTCAGCGTTCACCGATGTCCCTGAACTATATTCCCTATATTCCCACAGGACATTTTATACTTTTTAGACCTCCCTGAGGATGCAGCTCCTTGATTCAAAAGCAGTGCAAAATACCTGAGCTGGCTTGCCAAAACTGGAAAGAACTACCGGTTACAGCTAAAGTACAGCCCCACTAAAATTATGTTACAGACCTCAGGAAATGCTGAGCTGCTCAGTTCTCAAGGATAGCTCAGCTCAGACAGCCCCTCTGAGCAGCAGAACATCTGCAGAAGGCCTATGCCTCCCTGAGGCACAGTGTTAGCTAGGCTGTCCTGGCAGCAGAGGAACCTGGCATTCCCCCATGCCCATTACCTTCTCAATTGCACAGCCTGGCACAGAGATTGCACTGTGTCATGTCATTACTTTGCCACTGGGATGCCAGACATGGCCTTGATATGCTGAAATAATATACAAGGCCATTTTTCAACAGAGAAAACTTTTTTCCTAATCAGATCTGAGTCTCCCATTTACCAAAGTATAATGCTTTTACCCCATGGAAACTCTAGAAGAAAGTAAAATTGAGAGAAGTTAATCAGGGCATGGAAAGCCATATAGAAAGCGCAAAAGGAATGTAAAAGAAAGGAAACAAAGTCTTGCTCAGCAGCCCATGCTCTGCCATGTTAAGCATATTCTCCAGGCAACTTCTCACCAGTGAGCAAGGTAATATTTACCCAGTAAATTTACCATGAGTATTTTACAAGCAAACAGAAGTAGACAGCCTGAAGCAGACAGAACTGTCCCTTTCACAGTGAATACTTTAAGTCAGAAACCACTAGAAAAATAAGAAAAGTACACAAGAATTTTGTGTGCATAAATCTCATTTCGCAACCTACAGCCAAAAGTCCCTCACTATTTTTCTTCTTCCTCCCTCTCCTACTGGCTGTATGCCTTGAATCACATCCCCAGTCACACCAGCTGTATGCACACTCATAAATCTAACAAGCTGTTAAACTGCTCTCTAGCTCTGAGGACAACAGGCACACTATGGTTCATGTTCCCATGACTAAGAACTCCAACCCCACAGAAGCGCATGGCTGCATCCAAACCACCCCCCAGGAATGGTCCTCAGTCCATCCTAACCTCTGACCTACGTGTAGGCACTGTCTGTAGCAAGATTATTTGGCATGGGCCAAACAAACCCATGGCTGTGTTCATAATTTAACAGTATGAATGACTACATGTGTACAGGTATAGCCTTCACTCTGACACTTTATTAGCACTGGTGACTGATGTAGCATTCCACATTCTCACTGTGCAGGGCCAGACCAGTACTCTGCTGTTCTTCAGTGCAGATAGAAACGAGATATTCTGTTGAATTTACCACCCTGGAAGAAAAATGGCTTGCATCCTTTTAACATTGCTCAAAATCAATGGTTTTGCAAGATCAGGTTAGACCCAGGCTCAGTTGAGCCCATGATGCTGCTAGAGGCAACACTGATGTCTCAGGGTATCATTAGAGTAATATTCCACTCTGCATTAAAAATGGGCAAGATACCTGAGAAATCTAGAAGCTTTCAAACACGTGAAATTATGACAATTCTACAGTACTTCTTTCACTCCTGGTTTAATCTCAGTTTTGAAAAATGATATTCCAATTTCATATCACAAGTGTTATTTTAGTTCAAGGAAGATAAAAATAACTGATGAGAGATTCCTCTGTATTTCTCTTCCCTAAACTAAAAAGAAAAAAACATCACTTTTTATAGAAGAGTCAAATGGGTTCATTACACTCTGCAAAATCTGAACTATCATTTGAGTATCCTCAGTTCTTGCAGGCCAGAAAGGGTGAAATAAAAATCCCAAATACTTCAGCTAGTACTATTCTATATTTACATCACAAACCAATCTCTTGGGCTACATTAAGCTATAATGTCAACATCCAGAAAAACTGGGCAGAGGCTAGAAGCTGCTATGACAGATCAGGCTGTTCAGAATAGGCACATTAACAATTTTCAGATTTTGCCAGTACTTTCAAGCAAGACTATTAAGTGCTTGTGTTATAGACAAAATGATCCCCTGATGCAAGAGGATGACAATTCACCCAAGGATGACTGACCCTTAGACAACCTTCATGGAGGCAATGATGGCCTAACAGCTTTCTGGATTGAAGAGCATTTGCCTTCAGTGTCTTAACAGTGCAGTGGTGCAAGAGGGAGTTATACAACCAAAGCCTTGCAAACTACAGAATCTGGTACTAAAACTGTAGAAACACAGAATGAAACAAGCTGGAAGGGAGGTACAGAGGTCATCTTGATCAACACCCCACTCAAGGCCAGGCTAAATTACAGTAGATTGCTCCAAACCTTGTCCAGTTGAATTCTGAGCATATCCAAATGTACACTGGTAGAAGGCAAAGGGCACTATGGTAAAAGGTAACATTCAAAGAGTTTGCTTTGCTATGGAGCTGAACGCCCCAAGCAGCAAAACTTGCTCACTTAACAGACTTGAAAAGAACTGAAACATTTCTGAGCTTATTCTGCCTTCTATGATTATGCCTTGAACAAGCAGGAAGAGTGTGAATGCTCTCTAAGAAGGCTGGGGAGAGAAATCATTCCCTGGGCTGGTGCAAAAATAGTGTCAGGAGCTGTCAAATCCAGTAACCTCACACAAGCCAGGCTGCTGCAGCTCCATGGCCCCAGGTACAACCAAAAGCAGGGTTAAGTGAGTATTCCCAACAGGCACACACACAAACACATGCAGGCACTGCACATCTGTGAATGGCCAGCCACAAAGATCAACACAGACAGAAGCACTCACCAGTCATGCAAAGAGAAACAGCACCACCAATGGCCTCATCCTGCTCCCCTTTTTAGTTGGTCAGGATTAAGGTCTCTTAGTGGGAAATACATATGCATTTATATACAGTGAAGATCTCTGCAATAACTGTCCTTAAAGATTAAACCTCCTGACCTCTGGATCTGTGGTCTCTCCGTCTGCTGGCATCTGAAGCTCCCAGCCCCACTCATGCTGTGAGCAGTCAGACAGCCTCCACTCACTGATACATCCCTTCACACACACAGAGGCACGCTTGGATCCTCTACTAACTGGCTTTAAGGGTGCAGCCTACCCTTGGGTGCTAGCCCTGAGAGCTCTCCTGGGTTGCTATTCTGTGGATCTCTCCATGAAGCGGTCTTTGACACTCAGCCAATCCAGGAGCCGGCCCTGGGATCATCCTGTCTCTGGGTACACTAAAATACACAACACACAGACAGTACTCTCAAAGAACCCCCAGAATTTATGGCCACCAGAATAGCTGACCTGGACCTCCTGATAGTTGACCATCCCTCACTAGATAAACCCCTCCATTTTTCTCACTCATAGAAACACACACATTCAATCTGGTGTCTCACTCCTCCTCCAGACTCTGCTCTTCCCCTGGCTTCCCAACCCACTAACTCCACCATCAAGCTAGTCTGCCTTGATACAGAGATCACAGGCTCACTAATACAAGCTCACTCACTCCAGCTGCTTGCATCACAGATGCACAGATCCTATGACCTGTGGTCCACCCTGAGTTCCTAGCATTTGATTTTCATCCATTCCATGATCTCCAGTTGCTGGTAGCACTGACTCATGGGCCATTATGACCTGTGGTTCAGCTCCAGTTGCTGGTATATAAATGCGCATACACACACACACACAAAGGCCCCTCACCCAGGTAACTGATGAAAAATGGAATTTAATAAGAAGATAGGATAGACTGTGGTGATCAGATGATGCCTGACAGCCATACTGACCTGCAAGCTGGTGTATGTGACTGGCCCCTTATCTCTCTACTTTCTCACACTTAATCCTCCCTTTCCATACCTATGGTTACTCCCCTAAACAACCTGCAGTAAATTCTGCAGGTTATCTTCCCTCCATCCCATAATAAACCTCATGCCCTTGTTTGCAATAATCTCCTTCAATCTAAAAGGTGTTCCAGACAGCACTTCCACTGATTTAACTTAATGGGTTCCATTCCCACCCCATGTACTGATCACACTCCTGTGATAGTACTCGGGAGAAGCTGGGTCAGGGAATTAATTTCTCTGTTAGGTTATTCAGATTCCCCTGCCTTTCACTGTTCCTCTGTGCTCCTTTGAGCATGGGGAGAGAACCCTTTTATCAGGAACCTTTCATCACTCTTATAAGCAAATATATTTATGCATGGGGTCTATCATCAGGAGACAAAATACAGTGAAATCTTTGGGAAGCCTTAAATACACTAGAACTTCTTCCAAAACTAAACAGCAATTGTGGTGAATTAAATAATATATCAATAGCTAATGACATATGCAACTGCAATAAGTATTCTGTTTTTCAAAAATGAGTTGACCAAACAAGTAAAAAACCAAACAAAACCATCAAAAAAATGCTACTTTTTCATAACTATCCAACACAAAAGTTGCTGTTATTTTTTAAAAGAAAATGTCTTAAATTTTAGCCATGACTTAACATGAAAAATCAAGCTACAGAGTTATAGAATATGTCTCCTAATGTAAAAGAATATATACAAAACCAATCTATATGAGACAAATGAGTTTGAATTTTTTTCTTGTATAAAGCTATATTGTCAATCCTGCAATGAATGATCCTGTATTACTTCTGCAATGCTCCTTTTCAAATGCAATTAATTTTAGAAAAGCTATTTGGAATCAATGGGATATGTGTTTAGTAAGTTCCATGAAGTTTAATGTAATTTAACTGCTTGCTATGTCAGAGCAAAATGCTGACACTCTCAGAACATCAAAGTTGTCATCTGCAAGGAGGAATTCTCACACTCCAACCAGGAGTTATGTACCATCTGTGAAAGAGAGAAATGACAGCCAAATGGTGTAGGATATGGAAATACACAGCTTTTTGCAAGGTAACACAGTTTTTAAGCTTTATGAATGATTGTGTATTTTCCTCTTTCCCAGCCCCTTTCTTTTGTTAAAGCTCTAAGGAAACTGCCAGGATTAGCATGTTGCACTACTACTGATGTCAGAAAATGCAGACATCAAGAAATTAAAATAAAAAAAAGTTCCAACTTTGCATATGAAATCAAGTTAAATTGCTATCTACAACCTTCCTAGTGATACAATATAATATCTACTCTTCCACAGCTAAAGAAGTTCATTCTCCAAACAGCCACTGGTAAGTCTAGAACTTGGGTCCAACTACCACTGCACCAAACCAGCTACTTCCAATGACAGCACAGCATGACTTTTAATGCTTATCTATGTTTTCCTGCTTGCTTCTTTTCATAGACTCTAAAAAGTGAGCTTATGTCTTCCCAAGTTTTACCAAAGCATACACTGAAAATCCTGGAGACTCTACACTACAGGAATGCCATTCCTTTTCTATGAAGCTTTAATTAGCTTTGAATATAAACAGTGTTATTTGCAGCATGAATAGTCTCTCTTGTCCTACTGGCCTCCAAGCAGCAGTCTGAGAACAGATTGAACACAGGGCATGGTACAAACCTGGGAACAGGGATGTCCCTAGCACAGGAACTACATAGAAATCGATTATGGAAGAAAATCAATCAAATGGAGCTGCTGAGACTGACCAAGAGGATAAACCCCTGTCTGTTCCCCTTTACAAACAGGCTGCACATCCAGCCCAGTCTCATTCACCTTCTGCGTGTCTACAACAGGATATTCCTCAGCCCTGGGCTTTCCAAGCATGTGCCAAAGTTTTTGGCACACAGGAGAGCGTCAGGAAAGAGCTGTGAAGAAAATGTGTGCTAGGATTTTAATAACTCATGTGAATCACAAGCAATCAAACTAAAAAGTTAATTTCACTTTCCCCCCAACGCCCCAAAGTAAAATGACACTAATTTAAACCTTTCTTTGTATATACTAAACTGCATATAATAAACCAAAAGACAGTGGTATTTTTTGCTCTGAAGATCCCTCTGAGGAAGATATCTTTTCCTCCACTTCAAAGGCAAGCCAATTTGAACAATCAATACATTATTTTCAACAGCCCAAGATAACAACCAGTTGGTAGAAAAAATAGGGGGAAAATGAAATGTCTGAGCTCACTGCCTTTTTTCTTCCATATTCTTCCATATTCTCTTTTGCCAAAGAGAATAATGCAAAGAGGTTTTACCAAAGCAGAATTATTCTCTCTGTATCTTGAATTTCTGCAAGATACTTAGAAAGATTGTCCAGCTGTTCTGCAAGCTTGAGAGCTTGTTGTAAAATAAATGCAGTCCCTTACATACAGAACACACCATTCCTCTGGAACATATTTAATGAGTTCTTCAAAATGAACTCGGTGTTTACAGCTGTAGACATTTATAATGCCATCAAAGCAAAACTAATATTCTGCATAAAATTGATCCCAGTGCCTTAGCAAGAGCTATTTCATTAACAAGTTATCACTTGCTCTCACCTGTCTTGACTGCAGCCCATCAAGCATTCTTAAATTCTATGCTTCACAAATTTTTACAATCAGAGAGGTTAACCTAAAATGTTAATTTAAATATTCAGTGATAAACTGTAATTACATACATCCATAGATTTTCAAAGAAATAAAATTACTGCAGTTCTTGATGTAGCTTTGAGAAAAAGGAAAAATCTATTACCTCACCCAGCATGTGGCTCAGAAGTAATGCTCTCAAAACTAAATCCTCAAAAACTCTTGCAGAACTATAAACACTGAGAAATGTGATCTTAATGAAAACTTCTGTGAAATTGTGTTTCTTTTTATAAGGCTAAAATAATAAGTATACAAATGTTTTCTGTTTGCAAAGCAGCCTTCCCTTACATTTCCATTCAGGCTTTTCTTTTGGAGTAAAAATCATGTCTGGAAAACTTTGCACAGACATGCTCATTCCTAATGAAATCAGTGTGTCCAAATACTAGAGCTGTATTGAATAAATTCAGCCTCATGTCTCCTTGTTATGCATTAAAACCAATACCAACAAAATAATTTCAATTGCTTACAAGAACTTCTTTACTTCTGAGTCATGAGGGAGTTTCAAGTCCTATTAGGTCCTGTAAAAGCATGCTGCCTTCTTTCTATTTGAGAGGCATTATGCCTAAGAAGTATTTGCTCTTTTCATAATGTATATAAAGATAGTCTGAATATTTTGACTACTTCCCCTCTCTATTTCTTTTAGAGAGTTTCTCCCTCTTTTCTTAATGATTAACATTAAGGTTTAGAAAATTTCAAACAAAGTTTGAACAACATTTAGTTTGAGACAAAAAGTGATTTACATTCAGACTTTAACTCAAATGCCTGAGAAACACTAGGAAGAATTGATTTTCCCACTCGGTCAATTCTCTTTAGTTGGAGGTGAAAAGTATTTTAAACACCATCTGAAACTTCTGAGAAGCTTTCCAAAAACTAAAGACCACATTGGATATTCCCTATATTTTTCAACTTAGGTCTGAAACCTGAATTTCAAGTTTCTGCTGTATATAATAATGAGTCAACAAACAAGCCATGGGCCTTTTTCCTTCCTTATGGACAACTCCACACTAAAGCAAAGCTTTCTACATACTTATCATCAGACTTTCCTCCCTTACCATATAATTTTTCTTTGACTTTTGACCACAACAAAAATACTTACCTGAGATGTAAATCAGCTTTGGAGTGCAAACTTAGGACCATGCAGTACAGTCACAAGGAAGATGCTGACTACCCTGACTCTGAATTGAGAGTTGAAGTTTGGTTCATGGGCACTTTTACTGCTTCCTCTCCACAGGCAGAATTTTACTGTCCTATTTCAATCCAGGCAGGTCAACTATGTGTTCTGTAAAGCTGTATCACACAGTACTTTCTAAACTCTTTTATCCCTACAAACTTTCAGGAGTGAGCACTGAATTAAAGAAAATGTTCACTTGTACAGGCATCGCCCAGTTACTTAATATTTGCAGAGAGAATTTACATTTTCCCCCCTTTGCTATCTTGGTTTCTCTACCAGTTACATGAGGAATTACACAGTAATTTGTAATACAATTTTAAAATGAGTAATTCACAGAATTTCAGAGATTTAAGAATTTGTATTATAATCTTACATCAATTATTTAGTCTCTGAACTTCCCACACACACTGCATTCCCTTCCTATTAAGAGAAGGGATGCTTTAACAAGCTTTCCTCTTTTTATTAGATCTCACACTATTCTCCTTTCCTTTTCTCTAGGTCTTTCCTTGCTTCCCTTTGATTCCATCTCTCCCTCCTCTCCTCTTTCAGTGGCTTTCAGAAATGCAAGAGATGAACATTCATCACAAAGCAGTACAGTTCACTGAGCACATGTAGCTGCAAGGATATTCTTGGAACAAACAAGGGGACTGTTTACAGTACCTCTGCCCTTCTCTAACTCTCTTCCATAGCTCTAATCTTATCTCCTGCTCTCATCGCCCTCCATTCTATCATCTATTCTTTCTTCTACCTTTTTCTTGGCACCTCTTTTCCCCTGCCTACCTTTCCCCTACCCTGCCTTCAGCGCTTTCTCCCTCTGTCTGCTGGCTGATTGTGAACTGTCTCTTCTTGTTAATGCAAAACATTCTCTCCGTATCTATTATTTGAGGCAAGTTTTTCAGAGGTGAGACAAAAACTCTTGATTTCAGCCCATTGGGTGCTGTCTTCTCAAGCAGTACAAATCCAGAGATCATTTCACAAAGCAAACGTGGTGCAAGAACAGGAACACAAGAATCAAATACACGTAAAATATAAACAAGGGGCTTGTTCTCGAGAAAAAAAAAAATCTATTCTTTGAGGCAGGCACATCTGAGATAGTTAGTAGTAATGTTCACTAATGATCCTTCATAAGAGGGTTTGCCTCTCCCATTAGAAACAATACTAACAAGTTTTTAAATCCCAAGAGATAGTGATCAATCATCAAACAGACGTGCTCAATGCTCATCTGGACTAGGATATAAGCATACTGGAGAGCACACTTTTATTTTTTTTTTTTTAACCTCTACAGAAAACTCTTCAAAGTTGTTGCAAAACATCCATTCTTACCTTCTAATGAGGTGACTAGATGAAAGAAGAAGACCATCCAGAGCCAACCCATTCCCGACACTCTTCTTGCACTGATGCCAGCATTAGAATCCATGAAGATTCTCTGTAAATACCACCATCTTCAACAAGCACACACCACTCCCTTGAAATGGTCTGAGATTTCTTGGACTGTTTTAGTATCTTCCCAAATTAAAGCACAGAGGTCTTCACAGAGAAATACTGTTTAAGAAAAAACAGAAGGTAGAAACAGAAATCAGGTCACTCTAACACGAAACTGACAGTTTTTATACAACTGCTTTATCATTTACTACTTCCAAGTTAGAGGCGAAAAGGAGTAGCACAGACCCAGTATTTACCATCTACTGACCCCTCAAGACTTCAGTCAGTCACAGGTGCTTTGTGCACTGCCAGTAGACAAAGATTTTGAGACTTTTCATGGCATCAGTGACAGTGTGGTTCCCAAATCAATGCTAAATCTCTACTGCAGTATACGCTGTACTACTACTGAAGTCCCGATCCTTTCTGCATCTTTGGCAATGTTTCTTGGAAGGTGTCCATTCCATTTCCCCTGTATGCTTTTCAAATTCTGTCTCTTGTAATTTACACTTTGCCTTTTAAGGCCTCTGCAGGGCAGTAGCCATGACGGGAGAGTTTTTGCCAGAACAAATCTGCACAGCTGACACACTTGTAACTGCATTTCAGATGCAGGCATTTGTCCCTTTAAGCATATGACTGCACAACACTACCAACTTGGACAGTATTTTTCCCATTGATATGTCGTACGTGAGGAAGCAAACGTTGTGATATTTAAGGTCAAACAGGGAGCCTGCATTACAGCCAGAAAAAGCACACAAGTCCAAGTTTATTATCTTAAGTGGGAAAAAATCCAAACAAAACTCTACCACCACCGTTAAGAACCTGACATAAAAGCTTATCTTACAGTAAGGGAGCAGCATGTCGCTTAATCCAGCATTGCATTAGATCAATACAGCATAACAATTTTGCTAAGCAAGGTAATTCTAGCTCCATCTGTCCAATTCTCAGCCCACCAGAGAAATATCACAGTAATATGTAGGTTGCATGCAAAAAGCCAGTACGTTTTGTTTCTTCAGGTGCTCTTTGAGCAGAGCATTGAAAATGCTCCAATATCTTCAGTGACACAGTGAAGCGTAGCTAAGGAGAAAGAAAAATGTCTCAGGCAATGTACAGAAATGGCTCAATAACTTGGCTGAAAGAGGGAGGGGAGAGCTGTAATTAAAAGGGGCAGACTCAGTGCAATTACCTGAAACCCTTGCAATAGGGGATTTGAGCAAGTTGGGCATAGCAGAGGAAAAAGCAGCCTGGGGAGTATGCGAAAAGGCAGTGGAGTGCAATTTAGATTTGCTTTTTGAGGGAGAGAAATTCTGGACAGGATGGAACAGTTGTGTCTTCTGCTGCCCCAAGTAAGAACCTGAAGCACCCAAGACAGATGAACCAAAGGCACTCTGAGCATCACTAGAATGTAAGGAAACTAAAGGGATCTCAGCAAGAGGCAGAAACTTCGATTCATGACTTCAGAGGAGAGAGAAAAATAAAGTTCATTAAGTATAACTGAGGAAAAATGAAGATTAAATGTGAGGATGGATATAATACAGGTACTGCTTATTAGTTTATTTAGCATGTATACAACACAACATGTCATGGAATAAAAACACCACTGAATGCAACTGCAGAAAGGAGAACATTCCAGGGTGAAAGATCAGAATGTTCTTCTTTACAGAAAGAACTATCCAAGCTCACAGCAGTGCTCTCCTGGAACAGGAGTGAAGACTGCTGCCTGAGCCACCAAAACTAAGACTGGGTACACCAAAATCAAGCCTGCAAGACACATCTACATGGAGACATAAATACCATTTGTACTGACAGTCAATCTGTAATATTAGAATATCTTTAAGTTTTTTATTAGGCCAGTAAAATCCTAAGAGATGAAGACTTTGAAGCATTCATAATGAAGGCAAACAAATGCAGAAACAGAGGTCAAACAAACTGAAGAATACTTTAATATCTGTCAATGGGACTTCATTTATCTGCAGAAGACTTGGAAACAGCTCACAATTCAGATTTTCTCATGTCACATAATTTCTGAGTCACAAAGCAGAAAACCAAACCCAAATATACTTTGGCTGCTGGATCTCAGGCCATAGCATTGAAATTGCCACAGAAAAGATAGAACTAAAAAACCCCTTGCACACGAAACCAGACACAAAACAATTTCTGGCTCCAAGGAAACCAGCTGTTCTTCTGCTGCTCTCCTCACCTGCACATCTCTCTTACAACATCTGGCTGGCCCTGTATCCCACCAAAGCTACAGTGCTCTCCAAGAGGAATCATACAGCCTTTGTCAGGATTAGACCAGCAATTATTTTCCCTGAAATAAACTGTGGTTAAATCAAAAAGCTGGTAGTGATTTAGTAGATAAAAAAAGGTATTTTTTTTAGTTGTTTTAGTTTTTATATTTTTATTTTTATTCTGCCTCTTCCACACCTCAATGAAAAATGCTTACTCCACAGTGAAGGATAGAGAGAACATTATGGAAGCATTTAAGGGAGAGTAGGAGGGAAGCACTGGCCTCTGTGAATTAAAGAGTACTGAGCCCCTAAATTGCTAACCACTGCCCTGCCCTTCCCCCTAGCACTTGATGTGTACAGAATCTGACTACACCCAGAGACGCTCATCTTCCATTCTTCAGTTCTCCTACCACTTCTACCCTACCCCAAACTACGTAAACAGAAACCTCAAACCATCCCAACTTTCAAACCACCCTCTTCTCTTGTCCACACAAGCATCTTTCCATGGCCTTCTCAGCTAGTTACTTCTTCCAAAACTGCTTTCAGCAAGATTACTTCCCTTTGCTATGGAGTATGGAGTCCACTATTCCCCACTCTCCTCCAAATCCAACTGTAAAGCAATACATCTTCTGTGCACAGGATCCCTTGATAAACTTTCTTAAATACTGCTTCTCATCCTTTCTCTCCTCCAAGTACATGAACTTGCCACTCATGTTCCAGCTGTCAATCCTCTTATGCTAACCTTTCCTTAAAGGATTTAACCCATTTTTAGGCATAAATTTCCTTAGCTAGTGGAATGATCTCCATCTCCTGGGAAGTCCTGAAAATTTTAAAGCATCTGAGAAGTGACAGTTCCAGAGGATCAAAATGCCTTTTAATGATTCAAACTTATAAAACTGTGAAGATCCCAAGCAGTCAGAAAACATCAGTCACATATGACTTTTACTGTAACACGAAGCTCCAAGAGATGGAAGTTGGAAGTTTCTGGGTTGTCTCCTTACATCATTCACCAAAGTTATCATGACTGTTTACTTTAGCACCATCACTGTGGTACCTAGATTACCAAAATTTATGTTTGAGATCTCAGTTAAAGAGATAAATACAATCACTGCCACTATTCTCAAGAATCCTGGTTTCTTAACTGAACAACCAGCAAGGGAGAAGAGTTCTTTGGGAAGCTTGTCAACATGAATTTTGAACACCACCAAGGATGGAGATTCCCCAACTTTTTGGGCTTCTGTAGCAGTGTTGAACTGGGTCATTTTAGATTTTTTTTTTACTGGGTATTTTTTTTTTCTTCCTTATATGTCATCAGAATCTCCTTTGCTGTCTTCTGTTTCTATCTCAACAGAAGAGAGTCAGCTCTTGCCAAGCACCTCAAAGCTTCTTCTACCCAAGACTGAAAACACAAGCCATTTCAGCTGGAAAGCCCTGAATGTGAAACAGCATGCCTGGCTTGACTGGTACTGTTTAAGTCCTGTTTATTCTCACCAGACAGGGCCAGTGCTGTAATTTCTCACTTTTTCTGAACTCAGTCTTGAAGTGGGAATGCTTCAGTACCATCTCCAGGGAAATGATGCTCAGTGCTACAGAAGAGACAGTGATAGTGCTCCCACATGTGCTAAAACAACTGACAGTAGTACAGGTCTGTGCTTGTGAGATTTCTGTCACAAAGAGGGCTGTTGTCTGCCCATGCTGTACCTAAGCTGTGGCAAAGCATTTCAAGCAGCCAGTACCTTTGCAGCAGCTTCTTTATGCAAATAAAGGATTCCCTCAAAGTTCAAGCACTGTCAGCGATGACACCTGAAGAGCCATAGGGCACCAGTGCTGCTAAACAGGTTGGCATTAATTGAGAATTCCCTTCCATCAATGCATGTGTTTTTGTTAGCAAGGAAGGAGGTTTGCTCCAAGGTTTGTGCAGTCATTTATTTTAGAATACCCCAATATGTCTGGAGCCTTGATGGTGGTGGTCATGCACATGACAAACCTGAGGGGTCTCCTTAGAATGGACTGCTTTTTTGGTCTTCTGAGGTTTGCATGGCACTCTGAGACTGATCAAAACCAGCGACAGCTAGATAAACTGTGTTAATTCTGTGCTGGCCACAGGCTCTTCTGGACCTAAGCTTTGAACAAAACCCCTCCTTTTCTTAACCTTTTGACTCCAACCACAAAACTTTAGACAGACCTTCACTGAAGAATGTTCTAGCTTACTACACAGACAATATGTAGTCACAGATCAGAAAACAATGTGCAGTGGCCCTGTTTCCCTCTGACAGACACCACCTGCAGAACCTGACATGGTATAGCATTAAACACTCTTCTGAACCATGCATCTGTCTGGCTAAAACAGGAGGAATTCAAGCATGCATTTAGAATTAAGAAAAAACCTAGAATTGTTCAGGTACTGCACAAACTTTCTGGAGAAAAGATAAGGGCCTGAATATAGCTATTTCTTTGAGTTGTACATTTTAAAATTCAAGAAAACACAGAAGCAGATTAATGTCCATCTAAGCCAAGTTTTCTTCGTGTCCCCAGTGCCAGGAAGAGGTGCTGTGTACAGACGGCTTGCAAGCCTGGCCTCTATGTGACCTTCTTCCCTACTCTTCCTCTGGTATCCACAAATGTAAGACAAAGATTACTAGAGAACACCCCTCAATTCCTTGCCTTTAGTATCTCTTTAGGAATTCATCCAATCCCTGTCTTGAACTTGAAACAGATTTGGAAAGATATCTATCCTCGTGCAACTAAGTATTTTTACGTATTTTAAATTGTTCTACTAATAGCAGCTGAAATCGTAACAGTGCCAAATTTTTTATGCTTTCAATTCTTCTTATCTGTTCCAAGAACTTTTCCAAATCATCTTGTTTCCTCCCACAGGAACAATGCTTCTTC